TGAGAATACAGGATAATCTTTAGACTGTGTTGCCTTTTTTTTTTTAAGTGGTCAACCTAATTCTTCTAAATATGCCACTTTGACATCTTTGCAAAAAATTTTTTTTCTATTGTATTCAGTTTAGATATAATTATCCACTGGTGGTATATTTCATCATTAAATAATACCTTTTTACCTATGCATTGTACAATCAACATTAGATTATTTGAGTATCTGTAGAGTACTAGCTTCCACATTTCTTTCGCTACCTGTGTCTGTTGATTTAACTTCTTTAAATAGCCGTCTGAGATGATTCATTGTGATTCATACAAAAGAATGCAGCATGACCAATGGCAAAGTAAGATAATACAGGACTGTTATTTTTCTTGGCTGAAATCATGTTGGGAATTTCTTTTCTTTTCTTTAGTGATACCACAAGATATTTTAAAGATGACATTAAGTAACATATATTTCCTCCCAAATAATCTTCTATTTTGCTTTTAACCAGTGTGTTCTGTGGAACATAAATCATACTTTTTGTTGTTGCTATAAATTGGTGAAGTCTAAGCTGTGATTGCACAATTTTTAGCACCTTTAAAACTGGGATAAGCTTATCTATAGAAGAATAGGTTCTGTGAAATACTATTAAAGCAAAAGGCTATATTGTTTGATATAAAAATGTAGCTTTAGACTATAACCAGTATATTTCACTCTTAATTTAAAATGAAATTGAGTGAGCCTTTAAAAATAAAGCCAGAAAATGGAAACAAGAGATTTAAAAAAAAAAAAAAAATGGAAATAAACTAAAACTTTTTGGAATCTGAAACTCTGAAGAGAGACCATAATAGTAGGTACTAAAATTATTCTTTAAAATAGTACAGTTGTAAATTTACCCAGGAGATTATAGAATAGTCATAACACACAAAGGTTTAGGCCAAGCTGACACTCATCAATTTACGAAGTGCCTAAGGAAAAGAAGTAGTTTGCACAGGTCCCAGGTCCTAGCAGGTTAGAACACGTGTAGACTTACTGGGTGCAGCTAGCACTGTAGTGACGGCCTTACCCAGAACTCTTAGAGACCTGTGAGTAAGACTTGTACCAAGTACCTTTGAGCTTCTGCTCTGTTGGAATGTGTTTTGGGATCCTGTCTCAAGGATCCTTAGGAGGAACAAGTTTCCTGGGAAGCACCTTGGCACTTTGGGGGCCTCCATAGAGCCCCAAGTATTATGTTAAGTGTGTCACATTCCCTTTGACATTTAATCTTACTCAAAACTCATGAGTTTAGCCCGGCTGGGCGTGGCTCAGCGGTTGAGTGTTGACCTAAGATCGAACAGGGTTCGATTCAGGCTCCGGGCACATGCCCGGGTTGCAGGCTCAGTCCCCAGTGGGGGGCATGCGGGAGGTGGCTGATCAATGACTCTCTCATCATTGATGTTTCTATCTCTCCCTCTCCTTTCTTCTCTCTGAAATCAATAAAAATGTATTTTTTTAAAAAACACACAAAAACCTCATGAGTTTAGCTGGGTATCATTAAAACTGATTTTAGAGATTAAGAAACTGAGCTTCGGAGCTGGTGTGTGTGTGTGTGTGTGTGAGAGAGAGAGAGAGATACTCAAGTTTAGGGCTTGAATCTGACACAAACATATTTGTGTCTGTCAGAATCCAAAGCCCCTGCCCTTTCCACTACAGCACTCGGCCTCGTGAACTGCCTTCAGGGGAGGGTGCTGTTGGGTGCTGGAGGACTAGAAGGCAGGAGACTCCCTGCGTGGTAGGAATGTTTCCTCCGCTGTATTTTAAAGCCCCTCCTGAACTGGCTTGCTTACATCTCAATTTGCATCTCTATAGCCACTAACTAGGATACTTCCTTTCTTCCTTCCCCCTCTCCCTCCCTTTCTCCCTCCCTCTTCTTGAATTAATATTGATAGTTTATGATGCCCAGCTTAGTCCTATCCATAAAAGCTAAAAAAATTAAAAGGGTTTAAGTTAAAGATAGATTAAAACTCCAGAGGGGTGAGGACTGAGGGAAGCGAAGGGAAAACTAATGATGTTGCTTACAGCTGGAACACTTACCTCGACCCCTTTAACACAGATCAAGTCCCAGAACTTTCAGGAGTCCCATTTGAGGTGCCCTTGATTTCTGGACAATTTTATTATTTTTGTCTCAAGTTTTATTTCTTCCCTGGGATCTACTAAGCATATTCTTGTACACGAAGAACTCTTCAGTCATCCTCATGAGCATTAATTTCATTTGACACTATTTATTCTCAATTTATGGATTATTTATAACAAGGTTAGAAACCTGTTAAGGTGAGAGATTTAATCTTATGTCTTTGCCTCTCTCCCAATACTTACAGAATAACACACAAAATAGGTCTCATGAAGTACTTGCTGAAAACACATTTGTTATATTCCTTTGAGATGAAAGGAAAAAATACAAACTTCCTGTTTGAAACATAGAAGTACGTTTCAATTGTCTCTTGAATAAAATCCACATAGTTTCACTAGGGAATCTCAATTATTTTGCATTATACTAAGGTTGATTTTTAATATTTGTTGCAAATTATTTTGTGCTGTTATGCTATAAAAAGTTATTAATGCTTGGCTTTTCACCAGGAGCAAAATGTAGAAGGATCATTTTCAGAGACTGGATGTTTAAGTTCTTTACCCTTCTGTGTTACCCCTTCCCTTATTCTTCAGAGGTTTGATTCGCCAGCCCATGGAAAGAAAAATGGTGCCAGATCCACAGAATGCTGATTGAAGTGTGCAGGGAAGGGGTGTGATATAGCTGCCAGGAGGGGCCGCGGAGGGAGGGAGTGATAAGAAGTAGCACGTCTGAGAATGAAAGCATTAGCAAAGCTGTCACAGTACTTCTTGCACGCCTCTCGAAAATGAGTTGGTAGTGATTTCTGTTCAGTTTGTGGACTCTGATAACAATAACTTGCCTTAGCATAGTGACCTTTATGCTTAGAAAATGAAATAAACATTTTCCATTTTCCACAAGGAAACTGAACGACACTAATATTAAGTAATCTACTCAAGACCACATTGATGGCAATTAAGTAGACCAAGCTCTTCTCTGTTTTTTGATATCAAGTTCTTGGTTTTTAGACTCCATGTACATATTACTTCAAGATACTTATATAAACCCTCCCTGAGAGATATGTCTAGCTCCTACTTCATTTTCTTTGGTCAGATAGACATTACTTATTAAACCTGAATTGTTAAGAACCTCAATTAGTCCTCTCTTTGACATTCATTACGTCTTAAATGAAGTTTTATATATTCTTTGTTTTTATGGGTTATTGTTAGGCCATATTTTAATTCAATTCAGTTTATTTAACTTATCATTACCCTAAAATAGACTCTTTTTAATTTTTTCTTTGCAACTATTATTGATTTCAGTAGTAAAGTAAGGGACATAAGATTTGTTGAGTATGTTCCAAACATCTTCCTGAGTAATTCTGTAGGCATTATTTAATATTTAGTAGCTGTGTGGTGGTGGGCAAATTACTGAGCATCTTGATGCGAATAAGACATTATCTTATAATTCAGCATTCACTCAACAAAAATTTTATTAAATGACTATCATATGTAAAGTATTGTGCTAAAATCTGGAAATACAAAGAGAGATAAAACATTTGTGGATCTAGTGGTGTTCTTTTCAGCCAGGAAAAGGTGAGAGACATGGCAGATAAAGATTAAAATATTACAGATGCCATGATACTATGATTGAAGTACACAGTTCACATGTTCAGTCATTCAATGAAATGCAGGCACAGTTTTAGGTGCTGGGCGAGTGGCAGTGAACAAAACAGACAAAAATCTTTTTCCCTCACAGAACTGACATTTTAGCAGGGATCCTAAAGATAATGAAAGCACAATCATCTGGGGCTACAAAAACCTACGTAGAAAAGGTTACATAACTTTCTGGGTCTTATTTAAAGAGACAAACGAGCTCCAATTAGCACAGAAATGGCCATTAGGAGTCCTTGGAACATCAGTGACATCGCAAGATGATTGTGTGAACAGTGGAAGTGAAGCTACACTTCAATTTGTAGCCTCATAGCCCTGAGGTAACACACAGGCATATGCTGTGGATGGCAGGTTTCCTCTCCACTGTCGGGATTCTTTCTGGACCCAGCCAGTTCCTAAAGGTGTCAAATCTCTATGTCTGCACCGCCGTGAAAGATCGATTCATTTAAAGCTAAATAAGGTAGAATGGTACAATTCGTCTCGCTTGATTCCGCAGTAACGTCTTCAATTCTGTAGTGTATGTTACGTCAGAACAGATTTTTATTTCTTAATGGAAGACTCTCAAGGATGTCCAACTTGTTCTTGCTGTTGTTCAGTCTTTCAATTCCAGCATAAACTAAATGTCTTATCCATCTTGTTCATTCCTTGAGTCAAGATGCTCAGTAATTTGCCCACCACCGCACAGCTACTAAATGGTGGAGCAGGGATTTGAACTCAGGTGGTCTGGCTCCAGGATCTGGTGGCCATAATCACTATACTAACACTACCTTTTTCTTAGTCAAAGGAATGACCTGTGGTCTCTTTGCTACCACCGTTCATATCAGAATGACTTTCAGTAAGTTAGACAAACAACACAGTAACGTATCTCGTGTTTTCAAAAAATAATGAGTCAGAAAGATCTTTCTTCTGTTTGTAGCTTGTCATTTACTTGCTTGGTGACCTATGGCAATTTACTTACTTTAATTAATTTTCAGCTTTTATGAGATAGACATGGAAATACAAGGTTTGGTGAATAATAGATGAGATAATTATATAATGTGCTCAACCCAGTACCTGGAACATAGTCTCTCAACCATCAGTACCTATTTGCTGGAATTGTTACTAGTGGTAATTATCCGCAGTATTAGTAGCGGTAAATTTAATAAACTTAGTGGAATACAATAAAGTTAGACAATATTTTTGGTGAAATTAATACATCATAATTATAAAAGGGTGATTTGCTCCTTTGACAATGTCTCTTCTGAGATGAGCTCATTTTTCTTCACCAGCCGATCAACCCAACACTCATCAGCTGCTGGCCCCGGCCTCCCGCCTGCGGGAAAGTGCTGAACTCTTTCAGTCGGACGAGATGCGGCCTGCTAACGATCCCAAGGAGAGAGTCCCCCTGCGCGTCCGAATGCTGAATGACATTCTCCAAGACATGGAGAAGAGCTTCCTGCTTCAGCAAGTGCCACCAGGTTTTTATAGGTAGGATATGTGCTTCAAAATTTATATTTCATACCCCTCAATTAAACTTTTATGTTTAACTTTTCAGAATATGTATCTTCTGTGAACAAAAGTTTCTTAACAATGTAAAACATTTATTATATCTCTAACTTGAGGACCATTCTCCTTCCCCAAAGAACAGTTCAGCCGCATAAATATAGAATAAAGGAAACTTGGTTTAGTAGTACATATAGAAAATGATTTAGTTTAGTAGTATCATATAGAAAATGATGAAGAATTTTTTTACATTAAGTCAGTGTGTGTTAAACATGATATAGATACTGAAAAAAACACAGGTGAAATTATAGGTTGTATTGGGAGAAATAAACTTCTGTGAACGAATCAGAAGATGAACCCATGCTATTCTGTCCTAGTAGGACCAAATCTAGAGCACTGTGTTTCATTCTAGAAACTACATTTTTTCATTTAAATTTTTTATTGTTGACACCATTGCAGATGCCTTCCAT